TGAGAATTACAATACCCAATCATGGAGTCACCCCTACTCCCTGACAGCATTCAATCCTTGGACTGGCCCCAAAATCACATCACCTAATCACCTAATACAAGGTCAAATTCTATAGTAGATTCTTTTTCTTTTTCTTTTCTTTTTTTTTTTTTTTTGAGACGAATCTCACTCTGTTGCCCAGGCTGGAGTGCAAAGGCATGATCTCCGATCACTGCAACCTCTACCCACCAGGTTCAAGCGATTCTCCTGCCCCAGCCCCGCCCTGAGTAGCTGGGATTACAGGCATGCTCCACCACACGCACTAATTTTTGTATTTTTTGTAGAGACAGTGTTCCATGTTTGGCCAGGCTGGTCTCAAACTCCTGACCTCAAGTGAGTTGCCCACCTCTGCCTCCCAAAATGCTGGGATTATAGGCGTGAGTCACTGTGCCCAGCCTATAGTGGGTTCTTTCTAACGGCCGGTTACTGAGACGTCCCAGGGTACCCCATGGTATATGTTCTCCCTCCTCACTATAAGGAGTCAATGAACCCAGATTTGTTTGACTGCAGGTGGTCTTCGAATAAAGAGCACTTATATTGTAATCCTAGATCCTGATGTACCCTGAGAGAGCGCCTGATGAGGCAGGAGAGACAGATAAAGCAATGGATCTCAGTGTGATGAGTAATGTAATAAAACATGAAGAGGCGCTCCTGGGAGAGCAATAGCTCAGAGAGCCGGGAGGGCCAGCGAAGTCTTCCTGGTGGAGGGGACATTCAACTGACTCTTAGGAGTTAGTCCAGTGCAGAAGGGAGCATTGGATTAGTGGTCAGAGAAAAGTGTTCTAGGAAAAGAGAATAGCAAGTTCAAAGTCAAGAAGCAGAGAACATGGCCAGAACATGACAGAGGTCAAGAAGGGACTTGCCACAAGTTTGAAGGGCCTGTGTGCTCAGGATCCATTGCAGGGTGCTGTGACTACGCTTTATTTTTGTATTTTATTTATTATTTTTTGAAACAGTATCTCACTCTGTCACCCAGGCTGGAGTGCAGTGGCATGATCTTGGCTCACTGCAACCTCTACCTCCTGGGTTCAAGCAATTCTCCTGTCTCAGCCTCCCTAGTAGCTGGGATTACAGGCATGTGCCACCACACCCAGCTAGTAGAAATGGGGTTTCACAGGCCGAGCACAGTGGCTCACGCCTGTAATCCCACCACTTTTGGAGGCTGAGGCGGGCAGATCACGAAGTCAGGAGTTCGAGACCAGCATGACCAACATGGTGAAACCCCATCTCTACTACAAATACAAAAATTAGCTGGGTGTGGTGGCATGGGTTCACTTGAACCCGGGAGGTAGAGGTTGCAGTGAGCCGAGATCACACCACTGCACTCCAGCCTGGGCCACAAAGTGAGACTCTGTCTCTCGAAAAAAAAAGAAAAGAAAAGGGGTTTCACCATGTTGGCCAGGCTGGTCTCGAACTCCTGACCTCAAGTGATCCACCCACCTCGGCCTCCCAAAGTGCCAGGATTACAGGCATGAGCCACCACGCCCAGCCAATTTTAAAAGATTCATAACCGAATATTATGATTAAAGTTAACAAATCAACATTGTTTGCCTACAGATGCTAAGGATACAGCATCGTTTTTGTAGCATTGCCAAAAAGGCATAACCTGAATTAACCATGAGGAAAAATTAAGGAATCCCAAATTAAAGGACATTCTACATTTTGAACTCCAAAAACGTCAACGTCAGGGAAAAAAAAAAAAAAAAAAAGGCTGAGGAGCTGTTCCAGGTGAAAAAGGACTAAATGCAGCTAAATGCAGTGCCTTACCCTGGACTGGATTCAGGCATGAAACAAACATCTTTTTTCCTTTTGTTATAAAGGACATTAGTTGGACAATTGGTGAGACTCCAATAGATAATCCTGTATCTATGATAATTTACCTGATTTTGACCATTGTGCTGTGTGTTTATGGAAGAGAATGCCCTTGCTTTCAGGAAACACACTCTGAAGTACAGTATTTTTTTTTTTTTGACATACAATTTCACTTTTGTTGCCCAGGCTGGAGTGCAATGCTTTGATCTCGACTTACCCCAATCTCCACCTCCCAGATTCAAGCAATTCTCCTGCCTCAGCCTCCAGAATAGCTGGGATTACAGGTATGCACCACAACGCCTGGCTAATTCTGTATTTTAGGCAGAGATGGGGTTTCTCCATGTTGGTCAGGCTGGTCTTGAACTCCTGACCTCGTGATCCACCCGCCTCAGCCTCCCAAAGTGTTGAGATCATAGGCATGAGTCACCACGCCCAGACTGATGTACAGTATTTAAAGGTAAAGGAGCATCAGGTCTGCAACTTGCTCCCAAACTGGTCAGAAAAAAAAGTCTATATAGATGTATATGTAAATAAGAGAGAGAAGGCTAAAGCAAATGTGGTAAACTTAACATTTGGGGAATCTGGGTGAAGGGTAATCATGAATTTTTTTCTATTATTCTTGCAACTTTTCTGTAAGACTAAATTTTTAAAAAATAAAGGTACCCCTCTCAGCAAAAATAAATAAATAAATAAATAAATAAGAAAAAGGAAAAAGCATATAGTTTTTGTTGTTGTTGTTTTGGTTTTAGAGACGGGATCCCACTCTGTCACCCAGGCTGAAGTAAAGTGTCACGATCATGGCTCACTGCAAGCTTGAACTCCCCAGCTCAAGCGATCCTCTCACCTCAGCCTCCCCAGTAACTTGGGACCACAGGCTCTTGCCACCACATCTGGCTAATTTTTTTTTTTTTTTTTTTTTAGATGGAGTCTTGCTCTCTAGCCCAGGCTGGAGTGCAGTGGCATGATCTCGGCTCACAGCAACCTCCACCTCCCGGGTCCTGGTTCAAGCAATTCTCCTGCCTCAGCCTCCTGAGTAACTGGGATTACAGGCACGTGCCACCATGCCCAGTAATTTTTTTTCTTTTTTTTTAGTAGAGACGGGGTTTCACCATGTTGGTCAGGCTACTTTTGAATTCCTGACCTCGTGATCCACCCACATCAGCCTCCCAAAGTGCTGGGATTACAGGCATCAGCCACTGTGCCCTGCCCTAATTTTTTTTTTAAATAGAGACGAGATCTTGCTGTGTTGCCCAGGCTGGTGTCAAACTCCTGGCCTCAAGTGGTCCTCCTGCCTCAGCCTCCCAAAGTACTGGGATTATAGGGGTGAGCCACAGTACCCAGTCTAAAAAGCATAGAGTTGAAAAACCTTTATGTGTCAGCACTGTGTGGGACCCGGGGAGGTGAGAGTGAATAAGATACATCTCCTCCCCTACAAGACTCACTGTCTAGGAAGTCATTTTGGCAGCAGATCCACAGGGATGAGATGAGGCCTCCAGGAAGATTACAACAACGTGGGCAAGAAATGGAGAAGGCCTGGCCAGGCACGGTGGCTCACACCTGTAATCCCAACACTATGGGAGGCCAAGGCTGGCAGATCACCTGAGGTTAGGAGTTCAAGACCAGCCTGATCAACATGGAAAAACCCTGTCTCTACTAAAAATACAAAATTAGCCAGGCGTGGTGGCAGATGCCAGCTACTCAGGAGGCTAAAGCAGAAGAATCATTTGAACCTGGGAGGCAGAGGTTGCGATGAGCCAAGATCACGCTGTTGCATTCCAGCCTGGGCAACAAAAGCGAAACTCGGTCTCAAAAAAAAAAAAAAAAGACAGAAATGGGGAAGGCCTCAATGAATTACGGCAGTGTCAACATAGAAGGACATTAAAGGGACAATTCTATAACCTGGTGACTAACTGCACTTGAGTTAGGGACCAAGAGGAGGCTCATGAGGTGTCAGGGCTTCTTGCCCAGCCCATTGGCTGAAGCAGCCCATTTCCCAAGACAGAGTGCTCAGGAGGTTAGTGGGAAATGATGTGATTGGTTTGGGACAGCTCAGTTGAGCTGCTGGCCTGTATCCTGGGGGCAACATCTGGGCCAAGATAAGGTCAGGGAGACATCAGCACTGAGGAAGTAGATGAAGAGAGGGAAGGGAGTTCTTTTTGTTTGTTTTTGAGACAGAGTTCGGCTCCGTCACCAAAGCTAGAGTGCAGTGACAGAAACACAGCTCACTGCGGCTTCCACGTTGTGGACTCAAGTGATCCTCCTGCCTCATTCTCCTGAGTAGCTGGGACTACAGGCACGCACCACCACACCCAGATAATTCTTTTTTTGAGAGGGGGTTTCGCCCTTGTTGTGCAGATAGAGTGTAGTGGTGCAATTTCAGCTCACTGCAACCTCCGCCTCCCAGATTCAAGTGATTCTCCCGACTCAGCCTCCTGAGTAGCTGGGATTACAGGCATGCACCACCACACCCAGCTAATTTTGTATTTTTAGTAGAGACGGGGTTTCAACATGCTGGTCAGGCTGGTCTTGAACTCCTGACCTCAGGTGATCTGCCTGTCTCGGCCTTCCAAAGTGCTGGGACTACAGGTTTTTTGTTTGTTTTGTTTTGTTTTGTTAATTTTTAGTAGAGACGAAGTCTTCCTTTGTTACCAGGCTCATCTCAAACTCCTGGGCTCAAGCGATCCACCCACCTCAGCCTCCCAAAGTGCTGGGATTATGGGCTTGAGTCACTGCACTGGCCCTGGCTATTTTTTTTTTAATGTGGGTTAGTTAGAAAGCCTGGAATGTCAGATTGCAGGGCCAGGAGTACATTTAGGCTGAGAATGGGAATGAGGAGCTGAGTGCTGCTGAGGAAACTGTTTTCCATATCATTTGAAACTGAAATGGAGTCTTTCCTCTTCCCTCACCAAAAACGTTTCTGCAAGAGTTGGCCTTCAGCCACCAGGGTCTGCTCCATTAGAATGGGGCTAGGGGAAGCTGAGTTCTTTCCTTTTTAACCTATTTGGGTTTAACCATCCCAGTCTGTCTCTGTTCAGTATTTAACAACTTGTTTTTCGTTGAAATAAAAGGCAAGTTAGCCATTTGTCCAAACTCCAAAGTTTAGGTTCACTGGGCCGTAAGCCTATACCCACCATCCCCGCGCCTGCTGAGGGCAGCTCTGCAGGATTCTTCCAGCCGCGGGGGACTGGACAGGGAGGGGGACGGGGCGGGGTCCCAGGGCTGTGCCATCCACCTGCCAAGCCTTAGGTCCCGGTCGGCGTTTCCCCTCCCTTCGGCCCGCTGCCTGACCTTCGAGCCGCCTGAGAAGTCTCCAGCCTGGTGAGTGCCTGAGCCAGGCTGGCCTCCCCGCCCCCTCCCTGGAAAGGAAAGGCCCCGGCGACAACAGAGCCAGACCCGCTCGTCCCGATCTCCCGATTGGGGACAGTCAGAAGGAGACCGACTGCCCTGTGCCCACCCGGGGACCCGGGCCCGCTCCGCCAGGCTGGCTGGTATGCCCTCTGCAAAGCCTGCGCCAGGGACGAGGCAGGCTCAACCTTCAGATTCCCAGGGTATCTCAGTCGCTGTCGCCATTGCTGTCGCCCAAGGCCCCAGCGTCTCTACCAGATTGTTGTGGAGGCCTCTCACCGGCACAGGTAACCCAGGGCGCACGGGCACCTGACGCCCCGTCCCCACTCCCTGCTGCCCGGCTGCTCCTTTGTGGCCACCGGGCTGGGCCTAAATGAAACATTTGGCACCCCCATCCTCTCCCCACTGGCTTCCCCGAGTGAGCATGTGGTTAAAAGTCGCTATTGCAAAAGTCGTGCCTCTAATCTTGGGCCTTATCTAAGACTGATAGGATGAAGGCCTTTGGAATCTGAACCACCGCTCCCCTACCTCCCCCTCCCCGCCCCCGTCTTTTTTTTTTTTTTTCAGACAAGGTCTCAGTCTGTCGCCCAGGCTCGAGTGCCATGACCCAATTTCGGCTCACTGCAACCTCTGCCTCCCAGGTTCAAGCGATTTTCCTGCCTCAGCCTCCCGAGTAGCTGGGACCACAGGCTCGAACCACTAAGCCCGATTGATTTTTTGTATTTTTTGTAGAAATGGGGTTTCACAATGTTGCCCAGGCTGGTCTCGAACTCCTGACTTCAGTGATCCTCCAACCTGAGCCTCCAAAGTGCTGGAATTACAGACATGAGCCATTCCAGCCTCAGGCCATAATTGGGACCGGTTTGGGCTGTGTTTCTTTTTTAAAATGTAGTTTATTGAAGGAAACATTAGATCAAACATTATTTCTTTTTTCTTTTTCTTTTTCTTTTCTTTTCTTTTTTGAGAAAGAGTCTGGTTTTGTTGCCCAGGCTGGAGTGCAATGGCATGATCGCAGCTCACTGCAACCTCCATCTCCTGGGTTCAAGCGATTCTCCTGCCTCAGCCTCCTGAGTAGCTGGGATTAAGGCACCCACCACCACACTCGGCTAATTTCTCTGTATTTTTAGTAGAGATGGGTTTTCTCCATGTTGATCAGGCTGGTCTCTAACTCCTGACCTGACAAGAGCCTCCCGCCTCGGCCTCCCAAAGCGCTGGGATTACAGGTGTGAGCCACTGCACCCGGCTGTTTTTCTTTTTTTCCTCCTGGATTCATTTGCCCATCCATGTGTAGGACCACTTACTTCAAAGCAGATAGCTACCCTGGGAGAAGGATGAAGATGCAAGCAATTTTTATTTATTTATTTCGAGACAGGTTCTTGCTCTATTGCCTAGGCTGGAGTGTAGTGGCACAGTCACAGCTCACTGCAGCCTCCAACTCCCTGACTCAAACTGTCTCTCCACCTCAACCTCCTGAGTAGCTAGGACCACAGGCATGCGCCACTACCCTCAGCTAATTTTTGGTCGTTTTGTAGAGTCAGGGTCTCACTATGTTGCCCACACCAGTCCCAGACTCCTGGGCCCAAGCAATCTTCCTGCCTCAGCCTCCTAAAGAGCTGGGATTATAGGCCTGAGCCACTGTGCCTGACAGATGCAGGCAGTGTCCTGGAAACCACCTACTCAGGGCAGAGGTGCAGAAAGAAAGATTGCTCTTGAAAATTGCCTGTTTTTCCTCTCCCACATGGGATTCTTATCTGATTTTTTCTTCTTTTCAGATAATTTTTCTCTCTCTTCTCCCAGTTCACTGGTCACGGTCTCTGGCCTAAAGTCCCAGCATAGAATGTTCCTCTCCTGTGGAGTCCAACACTCCTTGCCAAACTGGCCCGGTGTCTTCCTAGGAAGCAAGAAATCATGGAGGGGCTGTCAGTTTCTGCCAGGGTGGTTAGATGCTGTTCTTTTCTCCTCTCCTTCCATAATCTGCGTTGGGAAACGCGTGTTAGTTCAAATTCAGCGTGTTCTCATTGGTGAACATAGTCCTAAAAATGGAGTTCATAAAAATCAACCACATGGAGAAGAAAAATACATATATACATATGCACATACATACATACATACGGCAGCTCAGAAAATGCAAGTGTGGAGGGCCCTGGCCTCTGTACCCTCAGAGAAGGGGCCCAACAGCATCAACAGAAGGCAGGGAGCAGAAGGCACCCTGCAGACACCCAGAGGGGCCACCAATGAGCAAACTGCCCAACTCCCTGACCTGCCCTGGGGCCCAGGATATTGACATAAAGGGCGGCCTTGCACTATTTCAACAGCCAATTCTCTGAGGGTCACAAACGCCAAGGAGTGGAGGTCAGAGTGTTGCTTTTTTGTTTTCTTTTTAAAAGATCATTTCAGAAACACGTCACTGTAAGTTGGTTGAAGATGTGTCACGGTCTCTCTTATCAGCTCTTTTCTTTTGCCTACATGTGTCTCTCCCTGTCACATTTCGTATCTTGGTCTGATTTGGGGGAGGTATATCCGGCCTTGCCAGTTCTCAGCCAGGTGTTTTACTCTATTTGTTCTGTTCGATGACCTCTCAGTCACCTCTGTTACCTTCCATAGATCTCCTCCGTGACCATGTCTTCCATTAAGATCGAGTGTGTTTTGCCGGAGAACTGCCGGTGCGGTGAGTCTCCAGTATGGGTGGAAGCGTCCAATTCTCTGCTCTTCGTAGACATTCCTGCAAAAAAGGTTTGCCAGTGGGATTCACTCACCAAGCAAGTACAGCGAGTGACCGTGGGTAAGGATGAAGGCTGGGCTGAGACCAGTCAGCTACCTTTTCCCAGGAGAGGGGCAGTCACCATGGCGCCCTTCTTGTTCAAGCACACTAAATACACCCTTCATGCTGTCTGTGTCTCCACTCCATATCCTCCCACTTTGACCCAGAGATTAATTATGGATGGTCAATACTTTTCTCTTCCTCTTCGAATGACGGGCAACAGGGCAACATTCCCAGTTTTTGGTTTTGTTTTGTTTTGAGACAGGGTCTCACTGTGTTGTCCAGGCTGGAGTGCCATGGTGTGATCACAGCTCACTACAGCCTTGATCTCCTGGGGCTCAAGGGATCCTCCTGCCTCAGCCTCCCTAGTAACTATGACCACAGGTGCGTGCCACTACGTCCGACTAGTTTGTATTGTTTGTACAGATGGGGTTTCACCACATTGCCCACCCACCTCGACTCCCAAAGAAAGTGCTGGGATTATAGGCATGAGCCACCATGCCTAGCCCACTCCCAGTTTTGTCCGGATGCAGGGATGCTCTAGTTCCTGTCTTTCCTTAATATGGTCAGATGGCTACGGAAAGTTAAAGACCCAGTTATCTGCCTTGGGTCAGGCTAAGACCTTAATTTAAACAAGAAAACAAAACAAAACAGGTGTTTCCCTTCACTGAATGTGAAAACCAGCTTTTAGATGTATAAACCAGGGCTATCTTTGATCACTGCACAAAACAGGATTCACAACGGAATTTGAATGTGATGCATTTATGGCCCTGTGAATTCTGAAGAAGGGATTTATCTCTTTCTATGGCCCAAGGGAACAGGCTTGATGTGATTATCAATAGAGAAGGAAGCTTCTTGTTTACACTGAGCCCGTGGGAAAAAACAGCAGGAATTCCTATAACCTTGGGACACTCTTTATCGACCCAGAACTGGGAACCTCAATTTTTTTCTTTTTCTTTATGTATTTATTTATTTATTTTTTGTGAGACAGGGTCTGGCTCTGTCATCCAGGCTGGAGTGCAATAATGCAAACATGGCTCACTGTAGCCTCCATCTCCCAGGCTCAAGCGATCCTCCCACCTTAGCCCCCTGAGTAGCTGGAACCACAGGCACATACCACCACACCTAGCTATTATTATTATTATTTTGTAGAGACGGGGTCTCCCTATATTGCCCAGGCTGGTCTTAAACTCCTGGGGTCAAGCAGTCCTCCTGCCTTAGCCTCCCAAAGTGCTGGGATTATAGGCATGAGCCACCACGCCCAGCCTCAAACTTCCTTTTTAAAAAAAAAATGAAAGGGAGCAACTTTTTAATTCACCCAGAAGTATGACTGTACTAAAGTGACCTCTGAGGGTAGAGTGGGGATGGGGTCCCCTTGCCTTTTCTAGTCTCTTTTGCAGCAGACACACATGCCAACCTGTACTCTGAAAAGCCCCCCGCCAACTCATGGAAAGGGCTGTGGTGTCAGCAGTAGCTTAGAGAGCTACCAAGAGGACTCTCAGGCTGCAGGTTTGGGTCCCTGACAAGACTGTCATCCTTCTAATAGTGTCCTACGCATTTCCTGGGACCCTTGATGACTCCAATCAAAGTGTGAGCAGGGCTTTGAGCCAAGGGTGGCTCCTGAAGCTCCCATTATCTCACACTGAATGGGTACTTAGGAAATGTTTTCAAAATCAATTCTGATAAATTTATTTCCTGTGACTGATCACCACAGCAATCAGTCTTTCCACTTAAACAAACAAGCAAACAAACCAAAAAAGCCTTTCTTGGCCAGGTGCAGTACCTCACGCCTGTAATCTCAACACTTTGAGAGGCTGAGGTGGGTAGATCACTTGAGGCCAGGAGTTCAAGAATAGCCTGACCATCATGGTGAAACCCTGTCTCTACTATAAACACAGAAATTAGCTGGGCATGGTGGCACAGCCTGTAGTCCCAGCTACTCGGGAACCTGAGGCAGGACAATTGCTCAAACCCAGGAGGAGGAGGTTGCAGTGAGTTGAGATTATAAGACTCGGTCTCAAAAAAAAAGTGTTTTTATACAGGGAAAAATATTAAACGAAGAAAACCTAAAATTCAAAAACATAAAATATAGTGATGTAATGAAGAGGTGTATTATACTATGTCTGCATCTACATTTCTGTCTATTTTTTTTTACTTACAAAAAAGGATCTGAGAAACAATTTGCAGTTAAATACATGTAAAATAGGGCCCCTTAGAAAAGACAAATCCTGGGCCAGGATGGTGGCTCACGCCTATAATCCCAACACTTTAGGAGGCCAAGGTTGGTGGATCACTTGAGGCCAAGAGTTTGAAACCAGCCTGGCCAACATGGTGAAACCCCATTTCTACTGAAAAAAAAAATTAGCCAGGTATGGTGGCATGTGCCTGTAATCCTAGCTACTCAGAAGGCTGAGGCAGGAGAATTGCTTGAAACCAGGAGGCAGAGGTTGCAGTGAGCCAGGATTGCTCCATTGCACTCCAGCCTGGGCAACAAGAGCAAAACTCTGTCTCAAAAATAAAGAAGAAAGAAAGAGAGAGAGAGACATAAAGAGAGAAAGAGAAGGAGGAGGAGAGGGGAGGGAAAGAGGGAGGGAGGGAGGGAGGAAGGAAGGAAGGAAGGAAGGAAGGAAGGAAGGAAGGAAGGAAGGAAGGAAGGAAGGAAGGAAGGATCCTGGATTGGAGAAGGAGAGAGATGTCACAAAACCTTCCCCCCGTAATTAATCTCAGTTTGTGTCTCTGCATTTTCTGGAGCATTTTCTGGCAAAATAGAGCATCGCTCGCTCTGTGATAACTGTCCTGGTGCCTCTAGATTAGAAACTCCTCCTCTGAACTGGATGTGGCACCTGCCCCATATCATGGCCACTGTGCTTTCACTTCTCTGCTTCTCCCACTAGACTGGGAGCTTCCGGAGGAGTTGGGTTTTATTCACATTTCTATCTATTGCTACCCAGATCAGCAAACAGAATTCATACTCAACAAATGTACTACGTTACATAGCCTTCCCTACTCAACAGAAGGAAGAGAGTGCTCCCATTGTCACGAGAGCTGAACTGCCACTCCAAGAGATGCCAGGTAGCACAGTGACCTCAGGGGCCTCAGCCACTAAACCAGTGCTGCCTTTTACCTGCTGCTTTGCCTCTACAGATGCCCCAGTCAGCTCTGTGGCTCTTCGCCAGTCAGGAGGCTATGTTGCCACCATTGGAACAAAGTTCTGTGCTTTGAACTGGGAAGAACAATCAGTAATTGTCCTGGCCACAGTGGATAACGACAAGAAAAACAACCGCTTCAATGATGGGAAGGTGGATCCTGCCGGGCGGTACTTTGCTGGTAAGATTTCTCTTAACAACTACTTACTGAGCCTTGGAGGAAATACTTTGACACACTGTTCTCACTACTCGCCGGGGTGGCAGCTCACGCCTGTAATCCCAGCACTTTGGGAGGCCAAGGCGGGCAGGTTGCCTGAGCCCAGGAGTTGGAGACCAGCCTGGGCAACATGATGAAATCCCGTCTCTACCAAAAATACAAAAAATTAGCGGGGTGTGGTGGCAGGCACCTGTAGTCCCAGCTACTCAGGAGGCTGAGTTGGGAGGATCATCTGAGCCCAGGAGGTCGAGGCTGCAGTGAGCCAAGATCATACCACTGCATTCCAACCTGGATGACAGAGTGAGACCCTAAAATGAATGAAATTAATAAATAAATAAATTTCTCACTACCTGAAAAATGTTCTTTATAATGAATCTTGGGTTCTTCTTTTATTATTGCCTGAGTAACTTGTAGCACTAAAAAAATACAGAGGTTTTGTTGTGAATGTTTAAATCAGAGATATTTTCAAATTTACAGGAAAAAGTAAGAACAGTACAAACCACACTTGTACACCTTTCACCCAGTTTCGCCTGTTGCTAACATTTTGTTCTGTTTGCTTTAGCATTTGCTGTCTGTATATATCTAAACATATTTATGTCCAGAGTCTTTTTTAAAAAACTAAATCAATAAATAGAGATGAGATCTCACTATGATGCCCAGGCTGGTCTTGAACACCTGAGCTCAAGTGATCCTCATGCCTTGGCCTCCCAAAGTGCTGGGATTGCAGGTGTGAGCCACTGCGCCCGGTCTATCTCCAGAATCATTTGAGAGTAGGTCTCATATACATTCTATGTGCCTTTACCTCTAAAATGCTGCAGTGTGAATTTCCCAAGAAAGATGATGTATTCTTATGTGACCACAGTTAGAGTGATCAACTTAAAGAAGTTTAGGCTGGGCGCGGTGGCTCACGCCTGTAATCCCAGCACTTTGGAGGCTGAGGCAGGCGGATCACCTGAGGTCAGGAGTTTGAGACCAGCCTGGCTAATATGGTGAAACTCCGTCTCTACTAAAAATACAAAAAAAATTAGCTGGGTGTGGTGATGGGCACCTGTAATCCTAGCTGCTTGAGAGGCTGAGGCAGGAGAATCACTTGAGCCCAGGAGTCAGAGGTTGCAGCGAGCTGAGATTGTACCACTCACTCCAGCCTAAGCAACAGAGTGGAACTCCGTCTCAAATAAAAAAGAAGTTTAGCACTGATACAGTCATTTTATCTGATATACTATCTGTATCCCAATTTTGTCAATTGTGCAAAAATGTCCTTTCTCGCATTTTTCCCTCTAGCGCAGGATCCAGTCTAGGGTCGTGGGTTGCATTTCATCTTCATAGCTCTTTGATCTCTTTTAAAACCGGAACATTTTCATAGACTTTCTTTGTTTTTTATAATGTTGCCATTTTTAAGAATACAGCCAGCCCTACCCGACTCCCCTGTTTTTTAATAGGGCATTCCTTATTTAGTATTTGTCTGGTGTTTGCTTGTGATCAAGTTGATGTTATACATTCCTGACTGGAAGACCACATAGATAACGTTCTGTTCTCAGGGTAACCCATCTGGAGGAACACAGTGTGAATGTGTCCCCTCACTGGTGATTTTGATCACCAGCTTAAGGCCTTGTCAGATTTCTCTACTGGATAACTATTTTTAAATGCAATTTATAAGCAATTTGTGGGGGTTCTTAGTTATCTATTGCTATATGACAAATTACCCTGAAACTTAGAGGCTTAAAATAAGAAATATTTATTATCTCACATGGTTTTTGAAGGTCAAGGATCTGGGTGCAGCTTAGCTGGATAGATGCAGTTCAGGCTGTCTCCTAAAACTCTAGTCAAGCTTTCTGCACAGGCTGCAGCCTCGGAAAAGGCTGGATTCCCTGAAGGGGTCTGGAGGATCTACTTCCAAGCTCACTCACATAGGGATTGGCAGGAGGCTTCAGTTCCTTAGCCGGTAGGTCTCTCCATAGGGCTGCTCAGGACATGGCTGCCCCTAGAACCATTGGTAAGAGGAGAGAGAGAGAGAGAGAACACACATGCACCCAAGATTCAAGATGGAAGCTACAGTCTTTAACCAATCTTGGGAGTGACATACCATCACTTCTGCCATATGCTTGGTCACAAAGTGACAGAGGGGGCTATCCAAGGGTGAGAATACTGAAAGGTAGGAATCATTAGGGGGTATCTTGGAGTCTGGCTACAACATGAGGAGATATTTTAAGTCCATGCAAATACCCTGGTCCTCATCAAAATTTCTCCCTTAGGTTTTACATTCATTGATGATTCTTCCTTGAACCAATCTTTACTAAGATGGTTGCAGAATGACTTATATGCAGCTTTAAAAGAATTTTATTGGCTGGGCGCAGTGGCTCACACTTGTAATCCCAGCACTTTGGGAGGCTGAGGCGGGTGGATCACGAGGTCAGGAGATCGAGACCATCCTGGCCAGCATGGTGAAACCCCGTCTTTACTAAAAATACCAAAAAAAAAAAAAAAGCCAGGTGCGGTGGTGCGCACCTATAGTCCCAGCTACTCAGAAGACTGAGGCAGTAGTATCGCTTGAACCCGGGAGACGGAGGTTTCAGTGAGCCAAGATCACACCACTGCACTCCAGCCTGGGCAACAGAGGGAAACTCCGTCTCAAAAATAATAATAATTGTATCTACAGTTTTTAATTAGATAATGAGTTTTACATATACTTCTCATCATGATAACCCTCTAAGTTAGCCAAAGTTTATTCTCCATCTCTGCTATTCCCACCTCCCCACACTGCTGCCTCACATTGTTGGCCCTGCTGTCCTGGTCCAAGGCACGTTCAACGTGGAACGTAGCAGAGCTCAGAGCAACTGACTACAGACTGCTTCCCACCTTCCTGGACTTTATACAACCACAGATATGGTCCCAGACAGGTTGAAAGATTAAAGACGAGAATCTGTTGGAAGCCCTTCTGCCAGTGATTTTTTTTTTTTTTTTTTTGAGACCAAGTCTCACTCTGTCACCCAGGCTGGCATGTAGTGACACGATCTCAGCTCACTGCAAACTCTGCCTCCCGGGTTCAAGCAATTCTCCTGCCTCAGCCTCCTGAGTAGCTGGAACTACAGGCACTTATGCCACCACACCCGGCTAATTTTTGTATTTTTAGTAGAGGTGGGTTTTTACCATGTTGGCCAGGCTGGTCTCGAACTCCTGACCTCAGGTGATCCACCCGCCTCAGCCTCCCAAAGTGCTGGGATTATAGGTGTGAGCTGCTGCGGCTGGCCTGCTAGTAATTTCTGCAGGATAAAGATACATGATTGGATAATTCACCTCCTGGTGAAATTGATTTTCTCTCTCCCTTTTGACTAGAAGTTGACAGTTTTGTGCTCACTTCAGCAGCATATCTACTAAAATTGGAACAATACAGAGATTAGCATGGGCTCTGCACAAGGGTCACACGCAAATGCATGAAGCACTCCATATTTTTTTTTTTAACTTTACAGTTCTGAGACACTTCGTGAGACAAAAAGATGCATTCTTAGCATGGAGTCTCTGGGGTCATCAGGAGACCTCTTAAAATTGTAGATGTCATTGTGAGTCGATCTATTAGGAATTACTATAGTATTCTATAGTAATAATACTAATATGTACTAGTATTCTATAGCAATAATACTAATATATATAATATTTACATATTATAGTATATTACAATATAATATATACTTAGCTAGAGTGCTTGAGTCTGGGAGGTTGAGGCTGCAGTGAGCTGTGATCACGCCACTGCACTCCAGCCTGGGCAACAGAGCAAGACTCTGCTAAAAAAAGAAGGAGAAGGAGAAAGAGAAGGAGACGGAGAAGGAGGAGGAGGAGGCTTGGCATACCTGTGACCCCAGCACTTTGAAGGCTGAAGCAGGTGGATTGCTTGACTGCTTGAGCTACTCGAGAGGCTGAGGTAGGAGAATCACCTGAGCCTGGGAGGTGGAGACTGCAGTGAGCCAAGATCACATCAGTGCACTCCAGCCTGAGCAACCAGAGCGAGTCTAGGAGTCCAAGACCAGCCTGGCCATCATGGCAAAACCCCATCTCTACTAAAAATACAAGAACTAGCCTGGTGTGGTGGCGTGCACCTGTAGTCCCAGCTACTCGGGAGGCTGAGGCAGGAGAATTTCTTGAACCTGGGTGGTGGAGGTTGCAGTGAGCCGAGATCACGTCACTGCGCTCCAGCCTGGGCAATAGATGGAGACCCTGTCTTAAAAAAAAAAAAAAAAGGCAACAGTATTTGGCATTGCCCTTTGGGGACTGCAGCTTCACCCAACGGAGAGGGATGTCTCCTTCCCTTGGAGTTTGCATTCCTACAGTTTCCTGCTGCTGGCCATGCTCTCTGCTGTTGCTATCCCTGCTGTAGAGTTGTCTGGGGACTGGTGCATGAGAAAATGGAGAAAAGGGAGTGGGAAATAACCTAGGGATCTTCTCCACTCTCTCTGAGCTCCAGGAGTTTCCTTTCCTGCTCCTCCAGCCAGATCTAGAGGGTTTCTCTTGGATCTCTGTCTGCACCACAGTGCACACTTCCAGATTGCAGGCTGCATTGAGTTCAGGCTGGGAGATAGCAGAGAAGAAAATGAAGAGCTCACCATCTGTTCGGTGGTACTTCCAATTCTGCTGTTCTTCCCTGAGCTGCCTGCTAATATTTGTTTTTCAGAGTTCTAAGATGGCAGTGCCATGCATTTCATCCAGGTTTTTTGTTTGTTTTGAGGCAGAGTCTCGCTCTGTGGCCCAGGCTGGAGTGCAGTGGCACGATCCTGGCTCACCACAACCTCTGCCTCCCAGGTGCAAGCAATTCTCCTGCCTCAACCTCCTGAGTAGCTGGGATTACAGGTGCACACCACCATGCCCAGCAAATTTTTTGTATTTTTAGTAGTGACGGGGTTTCACCATGTTGGCCAGGCTGGTCTCGAACCCCTGGCCTTGTGATCCGCCCACCTTGGCCTCCCTAAGTGCTGGAATTACAGGCATGAGCCACTGTGCCCGACTGTATAGTGATTTCCTTTGATTTAATCACTGGAAAGGGTCCCTGGTGAGAAAGGATAGTGTCGTGCATGGGGCAAGATGCTGTGGGGCAGAGCTCAGAGTTCTTTGGTTTTTGCAGGCACCATGGCCGAGGAAACAGCTCCAGCAGTTCTCGAGCGACACCAAGGGGCCCTGTACTCCCTCTTTCCTGACCACCAGGTGAAAAAGTACTTTGACCAGGTGGACATCTCCAATGGTTTGGATTGGTCGCTGGATCACAAAATCTTCTATTACATCGACAGCTTGTCCTACTCTGTGGATGCCTTTGACTATGACCTGCAGACAGGACAGATCTGTATGTATTTTTCACTGTTTGTCTCAGTGCTGCCACTCTTGTTTTCATCTGTTTGTGACTAGTAAGGCGCGTCTCCTTTGCCCCATGTGAAGAGGTCCTTACTTAAATGGAGAGTCTTCTGATGCTATTATTCCAATATAGTAATAATAGCACAGACTTGACTGTGCTGCCAGTCAAATCATGACCCTCAACATATTTAAATATGGCAAGAGTTTGGCATTATATGAATAGATCCAGGGGAGCTAATAAAAATAGTTAATAAAAATATGGATAGAGTCTCAATCTTCTTCCTTGCCATCATCATCAGAAAGAGGCTCAGTTCAAAAGGGATCCTGTTCTCCCAGGAGGAGCCTAAAGGTAGAGAATACGTAACAGAATATTGGGGCAAAAGAACAGAAAACTTGAGGTTTTTGATTGCTATTTCTTGTTTGTACTTAACCATAGGCAAGTACTCAGAAGCTAATTACCAACCTTTCAAAATGGAAAAGCAAGAAAAAAAGTATTTGCACGTTGTCCAACTCCATCAATACGCTTGAAAGGAGCCGTCTTTGGAAACCTGGAGGAAAGGAATTATTTAGAACCTAGAAGAGGGTCCTTGAAACTGTTTCACGAAAGGTGCCAAACCTTTTATGAAACAAAAGAGCAAAACTAATAATAAAAATGACTTGGGAAAAATATCCCCATAACTCTGCAAGCAGATTTAGTCAGAGGCAAACTATTCTGGTGCAGATGTTTTCCTTTGAAATATGTAGAACTGGGGAGTCTAAGGCAGGAGAATCACTTGAACCTGGGAGGCGGAAGTTGCAGTGAGCCAAGATCACGCCACTGAGCTCCAGCCTGGCTACAGAGCAAGACTCCATCTCAAAACAGTAAAAAGAAAAAAACATGTAGTGCTCTCTTTTTATGACTGTTTTTACCCAATTTCATTACATGTGGTTTTAACATTTTTCCATTATACCTTAATCTGATGACTGCAGTGACCTGGACTTTGTAGCATAAAGTTCTTCTGGATTTTTATATTTGTTTTTTGTATACTGTGGTTATCCCCCTTAAGGCCACCTAGTTGGTTTCTGAGTGCCCCTCCTGCCAGAAACAGGCTCTTCTAATATTTGGTCTTGATTTTGAAGCACTCAGCCAGGCGAAAAAAGAACTCATATATCTTGCTAGTTTCTGTTCATGAACTGTTCACGTGTTACCATTCAGTTGCCTTGTGGACCTCAGAGTTGATCAAAGTAGGCATTTTTGTAACTGAAACAGCAAAGGTCTAACCACAAGCTGACATGAACTTGACAGAGATATGCAGGGCCCCAGTTCAGGTCAGCTTCAAAAAGAACTATTATTGGTACTTTTGTAAGAATTCTGCTTGCTTTTTCCTCTCTCCCTCTGAAAGCTTAAACAGATATGCCTGTCCCCAAACAGAAGACAATGAATCCATCCCAATCATGTGGTAAAAATCCTTTGTTCACATGCCAGACACTGGATAAGCCAAAGTGATCAGTATTTATAACCAGCTTGAGAGCTGCCTGTTTGATTCTCACTATTTAGTGGCCTCTTGTTTGTTGTGGTTCTGTTTTTGTTTTTGTCTTTTAACCATAGCCAACCGCAGAAGTGTTTACAAGCTGGAAAAAGAAGAACAAATCCCAGATGGAATGTGTATTGATGCTGAGGGGAAGCTCTGGGTGGCCTGTTACAATGGAGGAAGAGTGATCCGTTTAGATCCTGCGACAGGTAGGCCCGCAGCAAAATCAAAAATCCTTGTCATGATTAGGCAGAGATATAGCCCGAAAGCTACAGTCAGAATTTCTTTTCCTGTAGAGGTGCATCTTTTTGCTCAAAATAAATCGTCAGGGCAAGTAGGTTAAATATTAAATGCATGGATGAATCCTGACCTCCACAGTCTTCTTAGATCTTGCCTATTACTCTGCAAAGGGCACAGAAATGATACACGGATTGGAAATTGCTACAACTTAAACTTTAAATAAAATATTTGGTGGTCTAGGGAAAAGACTTCAAACCGTGAAGCTGCCTGTTGATAAAACAACTTCATGCTGCTTTGGAGGGAAGGATTACTCTGAAATGTATGTGACCTGCGCCCGGGATGGAATGGACCCCGAGGGCCTTTTGAGGCAACCTGAAGCTGGTGGAATTTTCAAGGTGATACGGCTATTTCTTTTATTTTGGGGGTGGGGTAGGGGGTCCCCTGTAAGTAACTGACTGTTTGGTACTTTTGCATACTTCCAAAGCATTATCCTATTTAGCATGGTAAGCTCATCGTGCTAGACTGAAAAACATTTTCTTTCTTTTTTCTTTTCTTTTTTTTGAGATGGAGTCTTGCTCTGTCACCCAGGCTGGAATGCAATGGTGCAATCTCGGCTCACTGCAACCTCCACCTCCTGGGTTCAAGCGATTCTCCTACCTCAGCCTCCCGAGTAGCTGGGACTACAGGTGCATGCCGCCATGCCCAGCTAATTTTTTGTATTTTAGTGGAGACAATGTTTCACCATGTTGCCCAGGCTGGTCTCAATCCCCTGAGTTCAGGCAATCTGCCTGCCTCAGCCTCCCAAAGTGCTAGGATTACAGGCATGAGCCACTGTACCCTGCCTTATTTTGATTTTCCAGAAAATAACTTATCTGAAGTCCAAGATGATGTGTTTACCCTACTTTGTATTACTTTGATTTTTTTCTTCATGTTCATTGAAAATTTTCAAATCAGTAGAATGTTTCAAACCAATATTTGAAATCCTTCAAACCAGTATTTGCAACATGCCTACAAGGTCGATTGTTTTGCTGTCTTAAGGATGTTTCCGATTTTTAACATCTTTTGGCAGCAGGATAAAAACTGATAAAGATCATAGAGCTTTTGAGCTGAAAATAAATACATAACGTCGAAACCTCTTTCTTAGCGGGTGGCAGATGATAAAACTGACTCCGTTGTAAATCCAGGTTAGTCATAAACCATTGCTAGTTGAATTGTAAACTGTATGAATAATTGAGTTGGACCATAAATACCCAGTCAGATCATTCCCTTTTATGATAGGAAATAAAACAAGGATAATAGGTGGCTAAGTATATTATTACAAATCATAAAAATGCTTTTGAAGAATACTTGTGAATTACCTTTTGTCTGAGTTTTCCTCTTTTCTTTTTCAACAGGTAACTGGTCTGGGGGTCAAAGGAATTGCTCCCTACTCCTATGCAGGATGAGGACAGGTCTTTCCTGCCAGAGGGAGCTCTGAAGACAACTAGAGAATTCTGGGGCTAAAATTTCAATCTAGTTAGAAAGAAAAATGAGGTGATGATCTTATTAACAGGGCTAAATGTTAATTTACAACTTTTAAAAGGTAGAGCATTTTTAACAGGGAGCAACAGGTGGTTCTGATAAAACCTAAAATGCAATAAAAAAAAGATTAGAAAAAAACACTATAAGGCTTTCCGTAAAAGGTACTGCAGAAGGACATAAAATCGTTCAACTGTCAGTCAGTCTCTTGATTCTTTGTAAATTGCCGGGGTGGGTGGGTACGTATCTCTTCTTGATTCTGCATTTCATACTTAACTATATTAAAGCTTCAAGGAACAATAAATGGTAACCTGGTAATGACCTACTACGTTCCTTTTTATTTTCATCATAATCTTATAAAATATGCCACAGTGCTATCTAACCTACTTAGATATTAAACTTCCTATATGTTACTTTACAAACTAAAATGCAGCTGGAGGATGACTCAAACATGCTGTCGAAATCCTTGGTTCCAGCTGCCACCTACTGGATATAAAAGTAATATGCCTCTTTGGAAAGAATACTTATTTTTAAAATAGCTTTATTGAGTTATAATTGGCCTGTACATATTTAAAGTGTACAGTTTGACAAATTTTTCACATATATACATTCATGAAACCAACACCACAGATAAGATAATGAATCTATCCACTACCCCAAAACTTTTCTTGTCCCGTCGTAATCTTTGCCTTCAGCCCCTCTGCCAGCCTGTTTCCTGTCCCCAGGAAACCACTGATCTGCTGTCACTATACATTAGCCTTAAACTTAGGTAGTGTGATTTCTCTAACTTTGCTCTTTTTCAAAATTGTTTTGACTATTTTAATTCATTTGAGCCTCTATATAAATTTTCAAATCAGCTTGACAATATCTACAAAAGAAATGCGGGTACAATTTTTTAACTGGAATCGCTTTTTGTTTGTTTGTTTGTTTGTTTGTTTGTTTGTTTGTTTTTGAGACAGGATCTGCTCTGTCGCCCAGGTCGGAGTGCAGTGGTGTGATCATGGCTCATTGCTGCCTCTACCTCCCAGGCTCAAGCAACCCTCCTGCCTCAGTCTCCCAAGGAGCTGGGCTAAAGCTGCAGACGTGTGCCACCAAGCTCTTTTTGTCTGTTTGGTTGTTTTTTTGGGTTTTTTTTGCTTTTCAGAGACGAAGTCTTGTTATGTTGCCCAGGCTGGTCTCAAACTCCTGGTGGTACTCCTGCCTCGACTTCTCAAAGCTCTGGGATTACAGGAATGACCCACCGTGCTTCAGCCTGAAATTGCTTTAAATCTGTAAAACGATTTGGAGATAATTGGCGTCTTTACTATTCTGAGTCTTATCCATGAACAGGGCGTGTCTCTCCCGTTATTTAGGGCTTCTTCAATTTTTTTATTAGGGTTTTATAAGTTTCAGCATACTGATCTTGTCCATGTTTTGTCAGATTTATATCCAAGTATTTCACTTTTTGGAACTATTGTAAATATTATTATTATTATTATTAGAGACAGACTCTTGCTCTATGGGCCAGGCTAGAGTGAAGTGGCATGATCAGAACTCACTGCAACCTTGAACTCCCGTGCTGAAGCTATCCACGCACCTCAGCCTCCCAAAGTGTTGGGATTACAGGCATGAGCCACCACACCCAGCCTTATTATTATTTTTTTGTTTCTTTCAGTTGATCATTGCTTGTTTATAGCAGTGTGATTGGCATTTATAGGTTGACTTTGTATCTGATGAGTTTGCTAACCTCACTAATTGGTTCTAAGAGTATTTCCATAGCTTTTCTGACATTCTTTGGATATATTTTGATATATATGTGAACAGAGACAATTTTCTTTCTTTCTTTCCAATCTGTATTGTTTTTATTTTTCTTGCATTATAACACTGGCTAAGATTGCCAGTATTATGTTGAATGGAAATAATAAGAGTAGACAGCCTTGTCTTGTTCCCAATCTCAAGAGAAAAGCATGCAGTCTTTTATTATTAACTCTGATATGAGTTGTATGTATTTTTGTGGATGGCCTTTCTCAAATTGAGGAAGTTCTTCTCATTTACTTTTCTGCATTTATTAATATGATTACATGGTCCTTCTTTAGATTGTTAATATGATCAATTCTTGCATTCCTGAGATAAACCTTCCTTGGTCATGGTATATTATTACTTTTGTATGTTGCTGAATTCCATTTTCTAATATTTTGTTGAGGATTTTTGCACCTACTAGCTTTTGTCTGTGGTTGACATCAGGGTAATTCTGGCCTTACAAAATGAATTGGAAAGTATTCCCTCTTCTACTCTCTGGAAAGATAGTGAATAATTATTGCTATTCTTTTAATATTTGGCAAAATCCATCAGTGAAACCATTTGGACCCAGAGATTTCTTTTTCAGAAGGTTTTTAACATTCCTTAATAATTATAAGGCCACCTGGGTCCCTTATTTAATTTCGGTGAGGTCTATTAGTTTGTGGCTTCCATGGAATTGATCCTTTTCATCTAAGTTGTCAAATTTATATTTGTAGTTATGCATAGTATTTCCTTATTATCCTTTTAATAATGCCTGAGAGGTTTCTAGTAATATCCCCTTTTATCCCTGATACTGGTTATTTGTGTCTTTTTTCTTTGTCAGTCTTGCTAGAGGTTTATTAGTTGCATTGATCTTTCTTTTTTCTTTCTTTCTTTTTTTTATTGCATTTTAGGTTTTGGGGTACATGTGCAGAACATGCAAGACAGTTGCATAGGTACACACATGGCAGTGTGTTTTGCTGCCTTCCTCCCCTTCACCCACATTTGGCATTTCTCCCCAGGCTATCCCTCCCCAGCTCGCCCCGCCGCGCTGTCCCTCCCCTATTCCCCCCAATAGACCCCAGTGTTTAGTACTCCCTTCCCTGTGTCCATGTGTTCTCATTTTTCATCACACGCCTGTGAGTGAGAATATGCAGTATTTCATTTTCTGTTCTTGTGTCAGTTTGCTGAGAATGATGTTCTCCAGATTCATCCATATCCCTACAAACGACACAAACTCATCATTTTTGATTGCTGCATAATATTTCATGGTGTATATGTGCCACACTTTCCCAATCCAGTCTATCATCGATGGGCATTTGGATTGGTTCCAGGTCTTTGCTATTGTAAACAGTGCTGCAGTGAACATTCGTGTGCATGTGTCCTTATAGTAGAACGATTTATAGTCCTTTGGATATATGCCCAGTAATGGGATTGCTGGGTCAAATGGAATTTCTATTTCTAAGGCCTTGAGGAATCGCCACACTGTCTTCCACAATGGTTGAACTAATTTACACTCCCACCAACAGTGTAAAAGTGTTCCTTTTTCTCCACATCCTCTCCAGCATCTGTTGTCTCCAGCTTTTTTAATGATCGCCATTCTAACTGGCGTGAGATGGTATCTCAATGTGGTTTTGATTTGCATCTCTCTGATGACCAGTGATGATGAGCATTTTTTCATATGTTTGTTGGCCTCATGTATGTCTTCTTTTGTAACGTGTCTGTTCATATCCTTTGCCCATTTTTGAATGGGCTTGTTTGTTTTTTTCCTGTAAATCTGTTTGAGTTCTTTGTAAATTCTGGATATCAGCCCTTTGTCAGATGGGTAAACTGCAAAAATTTTTTCCCATTCTGTTGGTTGCCGATCCACTCTAGTGACTGTTTCTTTTGCCGTGCAGAAGCTGTGGAGTTTGATTAGGTCCCATTTGTCTATTTTGCTTTTGTTGCCAATGCTTTTGGTGTTTTGGTCATGAAGTCCTTGCCTACTCCTATGTCCTGAATGGTTTTGCCTAGATTTCCTTCTAGGGTTTTTATGGTGCCAGGTCTTATGTTTAAGTCTTTAATCCATCTGGAGTTAATTTTAGTGTAAGGTGTCAGGAAGGGGTCCAATTTCTGCTTTCTGCACATGGCTAGCCAGTTTTCCCAACACCATTCATTAAACAGTGAATCCTTTCCCCATTGCTTGTTTTTGTCAGGTTTATCAAAGATTGTATGGTTGTAGATATGTTGTGTTGCCTCCGATGCCTCTGTTCTGTTCCATTGGTCTATATCTCTGTTTTGGTACCAGTACCATGCTGTTTTGATTACTGTAGCCTTGTAGTATAGTTTGAAATCCAGTAGTGTGATGCCCCCCGCTGTGTTCTTTCTGCTTAGAATTGACTTGGCTATGCGGGCTCTCTTTTGGTTCCATATGAAGTTCATGGTGGTTTTTTCCAGTTCTGTGAAGAAAGTCAATGGTAGCTTGATGGGGATGGCGTTGATTCTGTAAATTACTTTGGGCAGTATAGCCATTTTCACGAAATTAATTCTTCCTAACCATGAACATGGAATGTTTCTCCAACTGTTTGTGTTCTCTCTTATTTCGTTGAGCAGTGGTTTGTACTTTTCCTTGAAGAGGTCCCTTACGTTCCTTGTGAGTTGTATTCCAAGGTATTTTATTCTTTTTGTAGCAATTGTGAATGGCAGTTTGTTCTTGATTTGCCTCTCTTTAAGTCTGTTATTGGTGTAGAGGAATGCTTGTGATTTTTGCACATTGATTTTATATCCTGAGACTTTGCTGAAGTTGCTTATCAGTTTCAGGAGTTTTTGGGCTGAGGCAATGGGGTCTTCTAGGTATACCATCATGTCGTCTGCAAATAGAGACAATTTGGCTTCCACCTTTCCTATTTGAATACCCTTTATTTCTTTTTCTTGCCTGATTGCTCTGGCTAGAACTTCCAGTACTATATTGAATAGGCGTGGTGAAAGAGGGCATCCTTGTTTAGTGCCGGATTTCAAAGGGAATGCTTCCAGTTTTTGCCCATTCAGTATGATATTGGCTGTTGGTTTGTTGTAAATAGCTTTTATTACTTTTATTACTTTGAGATACGTTCCATTGATACCGAGTTTATTGAGGGTTTTTAGCATAAAGGGCTGTTGAATTTTGTCGAATGCCTTCTCTGCGTCAATTGAGATAATCATGTGGTTTTTGTTTTTTATTCTGTTTATGTGGTGAATTACGTTTATAGACTTGCGTATGTTGAACCAGCCTTGCATCCCCGGGATGAATCCTACTTGATCATGATGGATAAGTTTTTTGATTTGCTGTTGCAATCGGCTTGCCAGTATTTTATTGAAGATTTTTGCATCTATGTTCATCATGGATATTGGCCTGAAGTTTTCTTTTCTTGTTGGGTCTCTGCCGGGTTTTGGTAACAGGATGATGTTGGTCTCATAAAATGATTTGGGAAGGATTCCCTCTTTTTGGATTATTTGGAATAGTTTCAGAAGGAATGGTACCAGGTCCTCTTTGTATGTCTGGTAGAATTCGGCTGTGAACCCATCTGGACCTGGGCTTTTTTTGTGTGG